AGAGAGAGAGAGAGAGAGAGAGAGAGAGAGAGAGAGAGAGCGCCAAGAGGGTGTAGTAGAAGAGAGCATAAGTGAGCAGGGGGTCTGTCTTTTAAAGGGGTCCTTTACACCTCCCTGCAGACTTAGTTCTCATGGAACCCTGGGCTGACCAGAGTACTGCCTGAGTGGATTCTGCCAGGTAGCCAGGCCAGCTTTATGCCTGCACCTTTCATTCCCACCTTTTCTTATTATTAAAAAGGTGGGGTGTTAGACATGGCAGGTTAGGGAATAAGGGCGTAGAGTTCTTTTTTTTTTTTTTTTTGGTTTTACAAGACAGGGTTTCTCTGTGGCTTTGGAGGCTGTCCTGGAACTAGCTCTTGTAGACCAGGCTGGGCTTGAACTCACAGAGGTGCGCCTGCCTCTGCCTCCCGAATGCTGGGATTAAAGGCGTGCACCACCACCGCCGGGCAGGGCATAGAGTTCTTAAGAATGCTTGCTGCGGACCTAGTGGGCGTTGATCATCTTTGGGGGACCTGAGAAAGCTGGGGTGCTGCCATGTCCTGGGCTTCCTGGGGTAACTGTTGCTTCATCACAGCCCAGGCTGTATGGAACTCTGGTGCCTCTGAGACCTGGCAAGATGTTGGCAGAGCAGAGGATAAGGTTAAGTTTAGGAAAAACTTTTTTCTTAGGTCCTGATACTTGAGGGGAGGATTGTAAGATGAGGGAGGGGTTCCCGAGGGGTCCCAAGATGAGGGAAGGGGATTCTCCTACTCTCATGCCCTCTTCTCTTTGCTCTCCTCTCTTCTCTTACACACTCCTCTCTTTGCTCTCTCTTGCCCTCTCTCTCTTCTCTTACTCTCTTTGCTTGCTCTCTCGAGCTTTAATAAACTCCATGGTTAATATATCTCCTGGTTCATGTCCCATAGCTCTCATCTTTAAGAAAGGTCACAACAGCCAGCCTAGGCTACAAAGCAAGACTTTCAACAAATCCCAAACCAAAACCAAACTAAACCAAACAAAAATGTTAGAACCGAGGCAGAAAAGCATCCACAAATGAAAATTCTGGGCTGGATGTGACTCACTGGAGAAGCACTGTTATCTCCAACATGCAAAGTGAAACATTTAAACATATTTTTAAGATTATTTATTATGTTTACAATGTTCTGCCTACATGTAGGCCTACAGGTCAGAGAGGGCACCAGATCTCATTACAGATAGTTGTAAGCCACCACGTGGTTGCTGGGAATTGAACTCAGGACCTCTGGAGGAGCAGACAGTGATCTTATTCTCTGAGCCATCTCTCCAGGCCCCATTTAAACATTTAAAAGTTTTTATGTATATGGGTGTTTTGCCTGCATGTCTGTAGTATTTAATCCTCTGGTACTAGAGTTACAGATGGTTGCAAGTTGCCATTGAGTGCTGGGAATTGAATCTGGGTCCTTGGCAAGAACAGCAAGTGCTCTTAACTGCTGGGCATCTCTCCAGCCCCCAAACTCAATTTTTAAAAGTGTATTATTTGTGTGGGGGTGCACACCTGCCTTGGCACATGTGTCATTTAAAGGACAAGTTACCAAGTCAGTTCTCTTATTCCATTACATGGGTTTGGGGGAGTGAACTCAAGTGCCCAGGTTTGGCCAAAAGCATCTTTACCTGCTGATTGATCTGTGTGCCCCCAAAACAAAATTTTGAAAAAAAAAAAAAAAAAACCACTGAAGGTAGGGGAACTGAAAGATGGGGAACACCGGATGAAACCAAGCTCAGCACTGATGCCAGAGGCCTTGGCTCCAACTTTGTCTGGCTTCCAGCCTAGCCCAAGTATTGCTCCAAAAGCAAGGGTTCCCACATCAAGGACACAAGGTGGAGGCGGGAAACTGGGGACTTCTCAGCTTAACAATTTATAGCAGGGGAGCTGGGGGGTGGAGAGCAGGGATGGCCTTGCCCTCTAGGCATCCTCCTAGCAGACACACCACCTGATTAGCCCAATATTGGTTTTGCAGATTAACAAAGGAGTCCTTGTTTGGATTTTCAAGTCATTTTATTAGTCCAACCATATAAAAAAGATCCTGTAACCACATCTCTGCCAACCCACCTTCTTCCAAAAAGTAGCAGAGAGGAACATGGGGATGAACCCTCCCCAGGAGCATTTTACAAACCATGAAGACAACACAAAAGTAGCAACAGGTAATAGGGGTAAACAGAACCACAACACAATACAAAGGTGAGCAAAGGCTGCCACATACAAAGTTTAGGAGTTGGGGACAAAGTAGGAAGCAGGTCCACCCTTCTCCTCAGCTTCAAAGGCTTCAACTTCATCAGTGTCTTGTCTTATCCATGTGCAGGGAGCATAACAAGCAGGGCAGGACAGTATCATGCCTAGTGCTGGGCACTGAGATTTCACCCAAAGGGGCCACACCCAAGCTTGCTTTCCTCACCCATATAAGGAATGGGCACACAGGCTAGCTGGAAAGGTTAAGAGAAGCTAAGGGAGCTAGCTCCTGACGAGGCCCCAGTCTCATCACCGGCAGGGAATGCTACAAAAATAAAAATAAACCAAGCCTAGTTGCTGGATCACCAGGCCCAGATGATAAAAAAAGGGTGAAGCAGTGAAGTTCAGGTTCTAGCTTTTAGTACCATGGCTTTGAGGATCCTGCTGCCCACCCCAACCCCTCAAAGCCACAGCAGGGCCTCACTTGGATCCTTTTATTAGGGAAGGAATGAGGTATAAGGGCTTCATGCCTTTCCAAACTTTCCCGAGGCAGAGAAAGTGGGGCACCAAGAGTTGAAGAACAGCTACCACAATGTGCAGTAGCAGGGGGGAATGAAGGGGTTAATATCTCCAGTCCAGACTTCCAGGGGGAGCCCAAACTTCAAATATTCTGGTCAGACCGACCACATATCCCAAACTTTTGGCAAAAACATGGTCACTGAGAGAAAAGCACAGAGAAGCTGAGAAAGGACCAGTGACTTTGGTGTGAGGAAGATGTATTCTCAGCATCTTGTATCTACAGTCTTGACCCCCAGACAAGCAACTGCCAAGTCAGGAATGCTGCTTCTTCAAGGTATTTGGTGTTGTGAGGAGAAAGCAGTAAGATGGGTCCAGGGGAAGCAAAGAGAGAGATCACCATTTGTTTCCAGAACCCACAAAAAGGACTACATCTCAGGGAGTGAAGAAACCTTGAACATGTGACTCCAAAAGTTACAGTTGTAGCTCTGGAGCTATGTAGGCATCATAGGCACCGGTGTTAGGGTCATCCGTCATCTGCAGGCAGGACATCCTTGCCATCTGGAACTTCCTCTAGTCCCTTTTCTCTTGCAGCCTCCAGCAAGACTCTAGGAATGGCTCCCTGCTCAGCAGGGATTGGGCTTCCTGCATCTCCAAAGGTCTCAATGCACAAGTTCCCAGGAAAAACAAAAACAAAAACAAACAAGCAATCGAGGTTCTTCTGCCTGCCCGCTTCAGTTCCTCTTCTGCTTCCAGGAACCGTGTGTTTCTGCTCCATGTGGATGGGAAGCCAGTGAAAAACGAGGAGTGAGAGCCACGTAATTACTCTGCAAGAGCACAATAAGAAATGTGCACTTCCCCAGGCCACCCCACTGGAGTCACCCATCGTTAGCAGCCACCAACTGCCCCATGCCCTCTCGGATGTAGACAGACTGGATCTCCTTGGTCTTGAGACACAGATCACAGGCCCAGACTGCAGAGGCTTCGGTGGTTAGCAACCCATAGGCGCTTTCTGTCATTCCAGTACACTCTCGGTGAAACCACTTCTGGCAGGAGGCCTCACACAGAATGGCATCCTGGTCATCATTCACCTCACTCCGACAGGCACCACAAGGGTACACCAGGCCTGGGGGAGGCTGGGGCCCTGAGCCTCCACCTGCCTTGCCTGGGGGTGCCAGGCTGTTGGCATCTGGAGTGCCCCCGCCTCGACCACTGCTGCTTGGGGGGAAACTAGGCTGGTTCCCATTAACAGCTGCAGCCGGGGAGCCTGAGTGGGGCTCCTGGGGAAAAGCAGTGGGAGCAGGTGGGTTCAAGGGCTTTCCCCCATCCTCACCGCCAGGGCCTGGAAAACCAGGGTCTGGACCAGGGAAGGGACTTGTGTTAGGAGGCAGGCTGGGGAGTCCCTGACCAGGTCTCTGAAGGGAAGGACCAAAAGGAGCTCCTGGTTGGGCAAAGCGTTGGGGGAGAGGAGGAGGACCCAGCTCCCCTCTAGGAGGCTGTCCCATGGTGGGTGAGATCATGGGACCAAATCCCCCCACTGGGCCCGGCATCATCTGCCCACCAGGTGGGCTAAAGTTTTGGCCCAGAGACTGGTTGAAGGGTTGACTGGGAAAGTTCATGTTGCCTGGGGGTGGATAGCCAGGGCCCTGAGGAGGCATATTAAAAGCTGGGCCCATAGGGTTGGGAGGGAAAGGAGGGGGCTGTCGACGAAGTGGCTGGGGACCCCCTCCTCCTCCAGTGCCATAGCCTGGGGGTACCTGGCCTGCCATGCCCCCCTGTACACGAAAGCCTCCAAAGGGCACAGGACTGCCAAGGAATGGAGGGCCTGCACCCCCCACCTTAGGGGCTCCGAAGTCATCCTCAAAAGGGTTAGAGGCAACCAGATGATCCACCATGGGAGTCGGGGGTGGTGCAAACTCTGTCAGATGTGAGTATGCAGGACCCTGGTAGAAACAGGAAGATGTTATGAGACACAGAACCGAGCTGGGATAACACCATACACTCTTTTGAAGACTGACACAGCTCAGATCGAAAACTGTGACATGACAGCAGTGCAAGGCGGAGCCCACAGTGCAATAGCACTGTTTTTAAAAAACAAAATAAAAACCTGGCAGATAGGGCTGGAGAGTTAGCTCACTAGTTAAGAGCATGAGTTTGATTTCCAGCACCCATGTTAGAGGGCTCAATGGCCTACAACTCCAGAGGTGTAACATCTTTGGCTTCTTTCAGCACTTGCATTCACATGGATATAGAGACCCATATGTATACATATAATTAAACATAATAAAATAATTGAGCATATAAAAATATATAAACCATACCAAAACCCAGGACTGACCCCAAAGCAGTTAATTAATCTTGCCCCCGCCAGACAGTGTCTTATATATAACCCAGACTGCATTCAAGCTCAGTTTGCAGCTGAAGATAACTTTGAAATCGTTATCCCCATCATCCTGCCTCATTCTTTGGAGTACTGGGACAGAAATGAACCACTTCGTCTCGTTTATGAAGTACTGGGGCTAAAACTCAGGGCTTTGTACAAGCTAACTAGGCAAACACTCAGCACTGAATATTTAACTTTTTAAAAGTCTCCTATTTTCTCAACTTTTCTAATAGGAACAACTAATAAAGCACTGTAGCATTATTATGACCCCTAGGAAAGACTCAGCAAGCTGGGGCTGGTGAGACATGCCAACAATGCCAGCATTTCGGAGAGTGAAGCAGGCAAGCTAAGAGATCAAAGCCAAGCCGGGCACCTTGTCTCAAAATAGTGAGAGTACAGGCTGGAGAAATGGCTCACTGGTTTAAGAGCACTTACTGCTCTTACAGAAGCCCTGGGTTCTGTTCCCAGCACCCACGTGGCTGCTCACAACTAACTGACAACTACCTGTACCTCCAGTTCTGGGAACTCTGACCGTCTCTTCTGGCCTCTGAGGGCACCTAGCCCTGGTCCTTGGGTCCCCAGCACTGCAGAAAACAAGTATGGTGATGTACATCTGTAATCTCACCACTTTAGAAGAGAAAGCAGGAGGATCATAGATTCAAAGTCATCCTTGGCTACACAGCAAATATAAAGTCAGTCTGGGATACATGAGACCTTGTCTCAAAAAGGAAGAATGTGAAAGGAGAAAGGCGAGGCTGGGCTGGGCTAAATGCTGTCACAGAACTAGGACCTGAGAGGGAAAGGAGAGAAGAGTATTTCTGCTTTTTCTCACCACTACTCCCTCCACCTGGAGGACAGTACAAGAGGGCAGCCAGGTAGACAAACAAGACAAAGCAGGGAGGGATTCCTAGGAATACTCCCACCACGGTTTCCCATTTACCTGAGTGTTGGACTTTCTTCGTTTCTTTTCAGGGCTCTTCATTTGCAGACCTGGAAGAGCAGCAATAGGCAGACGAGGCAAGTTTTCCTGAGGTTCTACTGTCTCCTTCCTCCCAGCCACTTTCCAGACTCTAACTTCCACGTACACTTGCTTACTTATTTAAGAAACAGGGGTGAAATATGAAAAATGACTAGTAGGGCTGCACTCTAAGCTACATCCTACATCTTCCTTGAAATCAAAGCTACCCGGCTCCAAAACCTGAAGCGATCTGTGACATCTGCCCCCAACCAAACTCTTCTCACCTGAGGCTACCTCCAGCCCCTAGACAACCTCCCCAGCCCCCAACCCTTCCATCCGAGGGTCCAGGATCCTGGGCCTCGACAGCCCCCGCCCCTCTCTGCGCTCTCACCGGCCTTGCCCTGCTTCCTCCCGGTGCTGGGCGGCGCGGGGGGCGGTGCGGGGCCGCTGCCTCCCTCCAGCTTGTCCGGTGGGGGCGGCGCCGAGGCGGCCATGGATTGGGGGACCCTGGGGCCCGGCGGGGGGGGGCGGGAGCG